TTGAAGGAACCAAAGCTCATTGAGTTACTCCTGCCGCTTGGCCCCTCTGTGTCCGAGGCAGATCCTCAACAGCACATTAGGTGGTCCCAGCCCTTCAATCAAAGCGATAGCTGATCGCTATGATCACATTGCTGTGACAGTCAAACAGCCGGCAGCAGCTCACTGTGTTGTGCAGCTACGAGCCGGCTGTGTGTTAGAAACTGATACAGTATTCTCCTTAGAGATACTTTGTATTCTCCTCAGAGATAATAATTATCAAAGCCCCTGTAAATAATAATTAAAGGAGAACTATGAGGTGAGTGCTTTTCACTCACCTCATAGTTCTAGCCGACCTGTGACAATGAAACTGTCACAGGTCGGCTCAGTAGATCGGGAGGTGAGCGAACACATACCGGCGTTCGCTCACCTCTCGATCCTGTCACGGCTCTCTGCTGTGACAGGGCAGGGGCTTGATTCCCCCCGCTCCGATCCGCCAGCGCTGACTGGCGGAACGGAAGGGGGCGGGTACAGCTGGCTCTGCCTCTAAAATAGGCAGAGCCAGCTGTCAGTCACGCAGCTGGGCGGATCCAGACATAATTGCTGCAACACATAGCTGCAGCTCACAGTATACCGAGCCTAGGGTGACGGGAGGACACCCTAGGCTCCCGTTTGTGTCCTCCCGTTACCCTAAGGAGAACTATGGGGAAAAGCCTTAATCCCATAGTTCTCCTTTAAAAAAAGTAACCCGTTAGTGCCCCCTAGTTTAAAAACACACAATACAATTTTAAAATGTTTTTAAAAAGGAACAAAAGTTTAACAAAATGAGTTTAATAAAAAAATATAGTGCAGAGGAGGCTATGAGATGTGAACCTAGCCTAAAAGATAGCAGACAAACATACCACATTCCAAAATTGTTCCACACTAAAATTGTATGTCACTTCTTGACCTTCTTAAAGCTATAACTCCCAAAATAAACTGAAATCCCAGACATATGATATACCCTCTAAATCAGGACAAATAAAATAATTTGTTATGATTTATTTTGTGTTAGCTACACTAATTTTGTGGACATACGGTAATTATTTCCAAATCTGTGATAAATATGTTTTGTTTTGTTTTTTCTATAAAAAAAATTTGAATTTTTATATGCATATTTAACTTCAAATTAAAGCCCATTTTGTCCTTTAAAATTGTATGTGTTGTAGGTGCAATGCATGAGAAAGATTAATTATTGTTAAACAAACGCATAGCAAAAATGGCAAAATTGCTCTGGGCCCCAGGAGTGAAAACATTTTCCGAAACTGTCACTAAGGAGTTAATTTACTTTTTTTTGTTTTTTTTTTGTTTGCAGCTGTTAATTTCAAACTTTAAACAATATGAACTCAATATTCGAGTTTATTGGCTGATCAATAGAAAGAATTGGCTAGGTGTTTGGTTCGACTATGGCACATGATTTTTCACTGTGGTAATAGGGGATTAGAGAATTATAAATGTAATATATGCATGCAAGCGTTTCTTCAATGTCCATTGAAGCATGCCTCAGTTTTTTTTGCTAGGAGGTAGGACACCTTTTCTTTCCCTCTCTGCTGAAAAAAGTCAACATAAAAAGTCTTAAAGTTATCTTTTGCTAGCCCTCTTTGTCATCATGGAGACTTTGTTCCTCGTCTTTAAGATTCATTGCACCACTGTTGCTGATATTTCCCTTTTTTAAAATAGAAAAAGGACAGAGGGTCCTAAATCTCTTTTTCTGCAGCCTGTTATGAATGAACAGGAAACCTCCTATACTGAGTGCTCCTGTCCATTCATAAACTGAGGAGACAGTATCAGTTACTGTGTCCTCTATAATAAATGAACAGGAAGTGATATATAGTGTAAGTAAGCATACTATGTTCTCAGTTATTTACAAACATTACTGATCGCTGAGTGTTTGTACTCTGCTCTCCATTCTGACTGATCCACCGGTCACCGGAGGCCGAGTGGGGCATCCTGACAGCTTCTCTCCTCCCCGATGGGCGCGTTTTGTGTTCCCTCCAAACCCCGCTGCCTTTGCTGGCACAGGCGGCAGAGAGCAGCAGTGATCGGAGGGGACACAGAATGGCACCTATCGGGCAGGAGAGAAGCTAGGGATGCACTGAATTTTTGGCCATTTTTGTACTATCGGCATTTTGCCGATAGTACCATTTTCGGATGCAATTTTGGTGCATCCCTAACTGACAGTCCTTTTTAAAGAGGGTCCGCATTCTGGACATTCTGTAGCCAACATTTGTTTTGAGAGGCCCAACTCCTGCCAGCTAACAGGGCAAGGCCTCTCTAGTGTTGGCAAATATGATTTTCTAATATACGGTAATCTTTTATTAAATCCTTATTATTTTCCTGGTATCATTTTCTAACCTTTTATCTGAGTGTCAGAAGTATAAGGCTTGGTCCCTTTCACGGCTGGTCTTCTGTTTTTTTTTTGTAAATTCCCAGTGTTGTTGGTCGACCACATCCTGCTGTTTGGTCTATTCTTCCTTAATCAGGTACTTATATTCCACCTGTTTGGGTGGTTTTTTTTGCTTATTTTACAGCTGCTGCTTGTGCAAGATCAGTGTTTCCTTAGGGTGAAGCCGTTCCCTTTGACATTTATCTTCCTGTCCTGATCTAAGCATTAGGTTGGTCCTTCATGGCCTTCCTTTAGCTGTTGGCAGATTTCACTGTCCTGCAGGAGATTACATCTCATCTGTTCCAGATTGAGCCTTTGGTTCTTCTGGTTGTCTCCTGTCTTTAGATAATTCCATCCCACATCCTTCAGTGGCTCTTGCCCAGCCTTTCGTTCGACTGCATTTGGATGCTGTGTCCCCTTTAATAAAATATAATATAAATATTTTAAGAAAATGTACTTACTGTAATGTCCATTGAGGGACATGGGTCCCACCCCTCTGGGTTTTTTTTGTGTGTATCGCTTTCTCACATAACTGAGGCATCCTGGATGGGACTGGCTACAACGTTTTTGTTTGCCTTTGCCCCAAGCTTCTGAATGTGGCAGAAAACCCCACTGTTTCTGAATTTTTGTGTCCCTTAGGGGACTGGATATAAATAATTTTACAGCAAGTACAAGGTTCTTATATTGTCATTCATTTAGAATTGATAATTATTTTTCTCTTTTAGGTGTTGTCTTCAATGAAACCCATTACAACATGTTGTTAAGAAAATACATTGAAAATGAACACACATTCTCACCTACTGAATTCCTTGCTGGTATGGAGGCTGCCAAAGTACAGCCAAATCAGGTGATTTTTTTTACCAACCTGGTAATCTTCTTTTAGAATAAAATTATAAAATTGGGGCTTATTTATAACGCATGGGATATATATATCTATATATATCTAATATATATCTATCTATCTCTATATGGAAGCTGAGCAGTGTTTCATTACCCGCAGCCCGGCTTCTTGATTGGCCGGAAAGCCAATCAGCATGGAGCCGGCTCACTGGCCAATCAGGAAGCCTGGCAGCTTATCCTGTTATCCAAATATGTAACCATGTACTTCAGGGATGGACAGATTCCAGGAGCCAACGTAGTCAATGATCCTTTAAATATAACTCCTGCTTAACATTTGAGCTTATTTTCTCTAGTTAATGTGGCTGGCTCTTGGAGTGCACAGACTGTCTTCCAGATTAATTTGTCCACCCCTGATGTTTGTCATCCAATGTATATTAATAATAATATGATTTATTTTCAGTCTACATATGAAGCACTGATTGCAGCTTACTGCAAGGACGGAGATATTGAAGGAGCAAGGTGGGTGTTTAAGTGATATAGTGTGAGGATTGTCTTCTTAGTGTAGATAGCCCCTATAAGGAAACATTTTAACCTAAAATATGTCATACTTTTCATGCACCTATTGGGCTGTTTAATTATTGGTGGATTTAAAAGTATGTGGATGTGTAGAGATTGCACAGATTGTGTCCAGCTTCCATCTTTCCCTTGAGAAGTAAGTATCAAATTATAATGAGGGGAATTTATCAAAACTGGAGCAGACAAAATCTGGAGCTGTTGCCCAGGGCAACCAATCTGCTTCTTTCTTCAGCTTGTTCAGTTAAGATTTAAAAATGAAAAAGAGAAGCTGATTGGCTGCCGTGCACAGCTGCTCCAGATTTTGTCTGCTCCATTCTATTGATTCCATTCATTGTTATTTAGATACTCTCTTCCTTTCTTTTACACCTTAAAAAATATGTTCACTTTGGATAATGTTGCAAAATGACTTATCCTCAATTGAATGCAGTGTTAGATAATACTGTAGCCAATCTTTGATTGAAGATCATTTTTCAGCTCACTTATATCACTTGATTTGGATGTCATCTGTCTTATTAAGACTGTATTCTGACATTTTTGCTCATTGGACTTGTTATCACAAGGTTTGAGTTACTCTATATTAATTTTCTTCACCACTTTCACGTGATTTTATAGAGTTTGATATGTTTTTATATATATTTTTTTTGTTACTGACAATTTGATATGTTATGTCACATTGTTTCTTATTCACAATTTTTTTTTTTTATATTGAGCTTGGCACATGATAGTATCTAGATATACTGTAACCATAATCGATCCACTGACAAACATGTTACTTTATCTGCTTTGTGAAGTTCCAGATATTCCAGATTTTGTCAAGGTGACTGAACACCTTAGAATTTGTATATAAGTGTTGTCTTCCTTTACCGTAAATGTATTCATTGAAAATGTCTGTCTTGGTTTAAAGCAAAATTCTGGGTTTCATGAAGAGTACCAAACTCCCAATCACAGAGGACGTTTTCAGTTCCCTGATCACAGGACATGCAAGAGCTGGGTAAGGTCTACAGTTCATGTGCCTCCACAGATTCTAGACTAAAGGAAATGTGTGCGGAATAAAATGTAAGCTTCATTTGGTGGCCTGTCTTTCTGAAAGTACTTAAAGCATATCTAATCCCAACAACCGCAATGTAATATATTTCAGTGTAACAGTCCTTTGATTTGGAGGTTGCGTTTATATATCATTTTTTTTTCTTTCACTTAGCCCTCGTTCACACCTGAACGTTTTGTAGCGCGTTCTACGCTCGACGAACGCTCTACAAAACGCTCAAAAATATAAATCCCATTGTATTCAATGGTCTCGTTCCCACCTTGGCGTATTTCCGCCCGTCCCTAACGCGCTACAAAACGACCCATGCCTGAAAAGGTACAGGTACTACTTTGGGCCGTTTTTTGTTGCGCGTTTCCATTGGGATACAGCCAAGTAGCCTTCGGAAACGCGCGACGGTCGCGCAACTTTTTTACCGCGAATCGCGGTTAAAAAAAACGCGCGACGGTCGCGCATATGCAATACGCCTAGGTGTGAACGAGACCTTAGTTGTTCTGCGAATAACACACGTTCAGTCCTAAGATGACCACGTTCGCTCGCCCTTCTGTATCAGTACAGCGGAAACTAGATGGGACCACAGAACCCTCCACTATACTCCTTGACAAAGAGTTGGGCATGGTTCTGTAGTCCTCAGAGCTAAGTAGGAACAATTATCGTAGTCAGCACAGGCAGAGAGCAAGGGAAGTTATCAGCTCCTAAGATTGCAGGCGAGATTAACAGTTGTTTAATGTATCAAATAGATCTGACCAAAATGCTTTCATTGGAATATAAAACAGTTGAAAGGGACCAATTAAAGGGGTTCTAAACCCTTCGTTTTTTTTGCCTATATCTATTGCTAGCAAGCAGTAGATCTAGGCAAAATGTAAAAAATAAAACAAAGCAGTTTAAACTTATCTTGTTTTCGTCGCACGCCCCCGCTCGAGAATCTGAAACTGCTCGGGCGTTCGCAAAGCATCTTGAGGCGGGCGCAGTTCGGCTTCTCGGGCGGGAGACGAGCAGAGACGCAAGGTAAGCCTATGGACTCGTGCACCCGCATGCAGACATCGCTGGATCGGAAGTGCCTGCAAGGAGAGAGCAGTCAGCGCTGGATCGGAGAGCCGCCGCACCGCTGGAGGGACAGATGAAAACATCAGGAAAGAAGAGGAAGATCGGATTAAGAAACCTCATTTAAGGTAAGTGCTAACATCAATATTGGGGGGAGGGAAAAACATTTTTGACTTTAATGTCACATTAAGAGAAGTAAATGTTTTTCGATTTACATACTCTTTAATCCAAGGGCATCATGCTGACTTTCTGGCTTCAGTGCTGTCTTACTTTGCATCATGCATGTTATGGGGTCGGTGGCTTAAGCTTAGGAAGCCAGAGACAGACAGGCAACTAGCATTTTCAACAAGAGGTTAGGAATGGCAGCACATTTGTTTCTCTGAACACGGGTTTACTTTAAAGTTGAACTCTAGATGGATATGAAAGACAAAAATGAATGCAGCTCTGTAACCATTATCCCTTTTTAGGTCCTGGCATAATCTAAACCTTCATGACCAGACCAAACTGTAAGGTTTTTTTATCCCGTGGTTTACTAACCAATAACTTTGCCTGTCGCAGAGCTCTAGTCAGTTGAAGCTGCTGTTAACCCAGACGTTGCCACAATGCTACAGGTAGGACAGTTTGTTGCTTAGCACAAACCTATCCTTTGTTCACCATGATTTGTTGATGATGGTGAGCACATGTTCTTTCATTCACCGCTCAGTGTGGTTACAGTTTGATCAGTCAGGGTCTCCAGCTGGACTGTGCAGTATTCTGTGGGAGATCAAAATGAATTCTGAAGCCTGCAGAAGCTGGATGGATGCTAATTAACACCCCCATGGCACAGGGAACTTGCTGAGACACACAAGGGTGGCTCCATAAAACCCTACAAGGGAAAGGAGCCACCCTAAGGGCTTGTTTTCACTATCTCCAGACCAGATCTTGATGCTTTTTTTCAAACGCAGCTGCATGCGTTTTATCGCATTTTTTAAAATGCTTTTTTCTTTTTTTTTTTAAACTATGCAGATTGTCTCTGAGGTTATTTCCTGCTTCCTGTGTCAGTCTTTCATGTGTTTGTGACCTTCACAGGAGTAAAAGAGTTACTAACATAGGAAGTGAAATGCATAGCGGCATATATGCAAAATACATCAAATTTTTTCATACGTACTTACCACAATTCTACTTCTGGCCTTTGGACTTGTGGTCAAAGTTTGTAAAAACTTTGGCTTCTATGTTGGTCCACTGCTCTGCTTTCTTACTGTTATTATTGTATTGTGGGTTTGTAGGATCATAAAGCTCAGGACACTCCTGCTCATAGGTGGCAAAACGGTCAGTGTCAATATGTTTGTCCACTATGTTAGAACACAGAGGACAATGTCAAGGTCCTCAATGTACAGCTTAAAATGCCCCTTTTCCATAAGGAAGTGTCCACTGTTGGTTAGGTCATCAAAAGTGACAAAATAAAAAAAATGTTCTTGGTGCCAGTGCGTTCTGGTGCATTCGTTTTTTGGACACATGCCAGTGCGTTCCAGACCAGAAAAAATGGTGCCTGCAGTACTTCTTTTTTTTTTTTTTTATGCAATGTAACCGACTCCACTGGTGGGAACTACAGCCCTAAATACCATAGGAGAACATGGGGATGCATTTCAGTTGCGATTAAAAAACAATGTCTAGTGATGGTGGAAACAAGCCCTTAAAACAGGATATCGGGGCCAGTGCTGAGAGGACCAACTGATTCTGCGGGAAACTCTAACTTTTATACATCAAGGAGCAACATCCACTGTAAGTGATTTTAATTAGCTTTTGAAAGCGCTTAAAATCCTTTTGACTTTAATACATCATTGAAATAATTTTTAAAAATATGTGTAAGTATCTCAATGTGACCTGGTATCAACCTCATGCAGTCCATGTACAACCGGGCGGATGTTTAAGAGGAAGAAGCAGAACTAGGAGCCAATCAGTTCTATGCTGATAAAATGCATGCTGATAGGAGGAGAAAGCAGCGTGACAGAGATGAGCTCATCACGGTGCTCCTTCTCTTTTCACTCTCCTCTCACAGACTGGGATAAGTTCAGGGTTGGCCGAGCTCACAAAAAGTGGGTTTAATGACGCTGGCTGTCAGACTGAGGACATCTAGTAGCAGAAAACGTATGGCTGGGGAAATCTTTTTTTATAATATTGCATTTTTATCTTGTTATTTTTGGCTGTAGTTCTGCTTTAAGAATGAGCGGAATGTAACGTCTAATGCATTGTGTATACTGTGAAGTAGAGCTGCAGCTAACGATTATTTTCAAAATCGATTAGTTAGCCGATTATTAAGTTCGATTAATCGGTTAATCGGATAGAAAATTAAAATTAAAGTTTAAAAAAAACGGCTCCATTGATGGGACTGCTAGTTTGTATTGCGATTGTAGTCCATCACAGGAGCAAACTTGGAGCGGTGGAAGTAAAAAAGAAAAAAAAAAAGTGTGGTGTGCAATATAGTGAAATTAAAAGTGTAAAATTGAATGAATGGCACCGGCTATAGAGGACTACAAAACCCAGCAATAATGCATTATGGATGGCGGTATTCTGCATTGCGCTGTATAATGTGCTATTGCTGGGTTTTGTAGTCCTCTATAGCTGGTGGTGTTCGGCATTGTGCTGTATAATGTATTATTGCTGGGATTTGTTGTACTCCTCTATAGCTGGTGGTATTGTGCTGTATAACGTATTATTGCTGGGATTTGTAGTCCTCTATACAGCGCAATGCAGAATACCATCAGCTATATAGGAATACAACAAATCCCTGCAATACATTATACATACAGTGTATAATGTATTCCTCTATAGCTGATGGTACATTGCTCTGTATAATATACAGTACAGCACAATGTACCATCAGCTACAGAGGAATAAAAATCCCAGCAATACATTATAGAGCACCATGTGTGGGAAAGTGCA